AATAGTAGTAGTACTTACTAAGGCCATTACTCTTGTGCTGCTCGTGAGGGGATGAGGGATGCCTAGATGTTCCTGGATTATTCCACCATTCATCTACGCTAACTGTATCATCATCAGTGATACCGTCATTTGCATCCTCGAATAGCTTAGGATTTCGGAAAGGGTTGGTATCCAGCTTAGGACTATCCAGATGAGCTACTCCTGGTGAATCATCTCCTCCTCCTCTAACAGTACTATGCCCTTTTGATGAGGAACCAGCACTGCCTCTCCTCGTCTTATCAATGATGATCACTGATGTCCTACTCTGTAATCGAGGCCTTCCATGGAGATCTGGAGACTGGGGTGGTAGTGGTGGTGATGGAGGCGATGCTGCTGCTGAGAGGACATGACCAAGTCTTCTACTACTAACGATACTACTACCTTGGTTGTTGTTGTTGTTGAGATCACCCTCTTCTACCTCCTCAATTGACCATGACCCATGGGAGGATTCAGCATCATCATGTATATTGGATGGTATAGGGCTCCTCTTTACACTATCTGATAGGTGTGCATGAATGTGAGGAGAACCTAACTACTCACCATCTCTGGAATCACTCCACTAGGCTCACTTATCTGAATACGATGATATTGATGATAATGAATAGGGAATCAAATTACATCTAGGGCACCCAGACTAGCACTCCTGCCTCGTTGTAAAGGGGGAGGAGCACTTGTTGCTGATGATGTTGTTGTTACCTTCCCTAAAAGGTGCTCGGATGTATTCATGACTAGAGGTGTAGGTACTACTACCACTAACGGATCCAGTCTCCCACTTAGAGTGGTTTGTCTGACGATTGTTGGATCTGTTACGTCGATTGAGTAGGCTACTTGTGGCTGTATATAGACCTTTATTACGAGGAGTATAAAGATGAGAGCTTACGTTTGGGTTTAACAGGCGCTGCTTTGGCTGGGAAGGGCTTCACGTGGAATTCCGTCACTATTGATTGGATGAATGCTTCGTCCAAGTCTACCATTTTAGCGCGTATCCTTTCGTTATCATCCAGCATCTACTCAATGCGGTAGGGGGAGTGACATGAGAGGTATTATTACATGCCTCCATTTATCACTAGTACATAGTATCTCCATACACTCCAAAACATGCTTCCTCCTTAGTCGTGCTTTGGCAAGTTCGAATAGGAATAACCAACAATTCTCAATCATCCAATCTGATGATATCATTAGCATTATATATATTATATAATCATCATTATTACCATCTATCTTATCGCTTTCAAGCCCCTCAGTAGCAGAGACATCCTTCTTCAAGTCAAGACATCCTCTACGAAAGGTCTGATAGTAGTAATCTCCATACCCCCTTATGATCCCAACCCTACCTGAAATGCCTTCTCCTTAGAGTTTTCGAATATAGAAGGACTAGACATAGCAACCATGATCTGATGGCATCCATCCAGGAGCCTACTGGCTTCACTAGGGTCACCAGTCTAAGGAAGCAGGCAGAGACGACTATGGTATAATGCTCGTAATCACTAGTACTCACCGTAGGTACTCCTCCTCCTCCACGAGGAAGGTTGCCATAATTAGGGGGCATCCTCACTGACGGTGATAGCGATGAATCCGTCATAGTAACTACAAACTAACGACAAGATGCTTGTACAAGTCTTCTCAAGAAACGCACATAATGCTCTTTACAGCGGAGCGATGCGGAGAAAAAGAAAAATTTTTCATTTTTGATGCAGTTTTTTGATGGATTGCTCGTGCCCGCAAGACTCCATCACTTCAGAGAGCATTATGGTAGAATATATCTAAAGATGGGAATCAGATGAGCACTACCATATAAGTCATACTAGGTAGGAAGTTGTCAGGAGTGGATATACTGATGATTATGGCAAACAGTAGGTAGTGATGGGTGGGAGGGGTAGTGGGATCCTCATGGTATTCAACAATTGTCCTAATACAAGTAGTAGTAATACTCGATATGGCCTTTGAAGATATACTATCATCCTGCTGATGTCCACCTAGCGCTAATTGGTTTATACCACCTATGGATACCTAGCTACATATATCTTACTAGAGAAGGTAATAAGAGAGACTCTATGATGATGAGGACGTAGTGGATCGATACGTCCTGTCCAAGCTGCTTCAATCGAGCTACAATGGATGCATGATCTTATACTCCTAAAGGGGTTTTAGGAGGGCTTGGGGTTCCGCAATTATGGGGGTATTCGATCATCATCCTATGATATTATATACTCCTCTTGATAGGTTGTAGATCAAAGCCTACCTAAACGGTGAAATACATGAAAGTAGCAATATCAAGCCTCCCAAAGAAAGGTGCTGTAGTAAACGATATACTCGAAGTGGGTGGGATAGTGTTAACACCCTGTGAGGATGGCTGAAGGTAGCACTACTACGGGAGTATCACATCCTCGAAACGAATCCAAATACTAGATCCGCATATCCTAGCGTCTTGGGCACTAAACCTCGTATTTCGTAATATGTATGGTACCGCGGGCTGACCCTAGGTATTATGGATGCAACATGTGGATGGATTCTACCACTCGTAGATGGGGACCAGGTCCACGTTTAAATTCTCAAGTATGGTCACAACTGTGGTTTCCTTGGCACTCAATCCTACTACTGTTGTTGTGTGCATTAGTTGACAACATGGGGAGAAGTCACTAAACTCGTGTTTACTATCGTTAATATGATCAAGATACGCCTTGCCAAGGCCTTCTATTCCCTTCCATGGTATCATGTCGGAGTCGTTCAGAATCGGCTGATAGTTATTCAACAGATGCTAGTTTTACTACAGCTTGGAGTTCTATACCTAGTGAGGATGGGAAGGAGGACGAGGAGGAGTTTACTTATGACTTATATGTTGAGGTTGAGAAGCTGTTGATAGATATAAAGAGGGATAGGGTGGCTAAGGCTGGTAATACTAAGAGGATAGGGTGCCTTGCATACAAGAGACAGGTAGAAGACTAACCCATCTACGATCCATCTCAAGCAGTGAGAAACTACCTCATGATCTTCGTGCCAAGATGAAGGCTAATTCGGAGTGTATACACATGATGGAGGAACGAGTGGCTTCTATGAAGGAGGTTAGAAGTAGTACTCATCATCTTAGGTATGCCCTGGGATGATGATGATGATAGTCTTTAGGAGCATTGGATAAGAATGGAGATGGTTGGGTATTACAGAGAGATGGAGAGGGTATTCGAACGTACTATAAACATAATAAGGATACTCCTAGTGTAGTAGTATTGAGGCGCCTCTTTATGTGTTGACATTAGCCTTAGGTCCATTCTTTTCGGATACAAGGAATTATAGACTGTCCTTTTTTTGACCTTATGGCCTTACTTAGTGAAGTTGACTTCTATAAAGACTGGATACCTAGCTATAAGTTCCTAGGCATCAGAGATTCCAAAAGAGTAATCATTCACTAGTGCTGGTGGCCTCTATTATTAGTCTTGATAGATAGCAGAGCCAAGAGCTACTCAGATGTTACTCCATATTGTAGCTGCCTTACCATGGCCATTCCATAATAGAGACCTTGTCATATCAGTTGGTAATATATTCTGCTACTGCTACTCCTCTGTCTATATTCGTACGGCTCAGATGGTATAGATTGCATCGGCCCTTATGAAGACCCTAGGCAGATAGTGATCCTACTCAAGTCTGAGGTAGCCAAGATGTTCATCATAAACTGTTACTTGTCCATCAGTCTGGCACCTCATATGAACCCTACGTATCAGCTTCGGATATGCCTATTCCTGCTAGAGGATCCACTACTTGTGATATACTTAAGAACAGTGGAGCGACCCTGACACCTATGGAAGATGGCAAAACGTGATGACTAGACTCTTAATATCCCTGTGTGGGATGGTCTTCTTCTTCTTGTTGTTAGCTTCCTCCAAATAGTAATGCATATTGATCCCCATATATCATGTGTTCCTAATTGGCTCATCGATATGGCAGCTAGACACTTCTGTTACCTTATGCTCAAACAGGTTGGTCCTCCTGCTGCTGCTGCTAGTCTTTGGACAACTCCTTTGTGATGGTAAGGATAGATACGATCAGCAGTGGAGAT